TTTTTTTAAATTGTCACTGACCACGCATATTTTTCGATGGCATTGTTTGTAGTCCGTGTTGGGGTGGGGACCCCGGGGGACCCTCCGAGCACGCCGTTAAAACCCATACTACGATGATGATATCGGGTCCCCGGACGACCTCGGCACTGCCATCCAACTCGGCGTGTGTGTGAACTCCAGATTACCAAAATTAAGCTGAATACAGGGTTCTCATTTGGGGGGTAGGGGGGGACACTTTCCTGAAAATTTGATGCAAATCGGAGTTGTCACGGGGGGGGGGGGGGGGGGGGTCGTCGTCGTGCTCGGGAGGTCGCCGATGACGTTCTCAGGGGCCCGGATCACCTCGGCACTAACAAATTCAGACTCAGCGTACCACCAGACCGGGACACCCCTTTGTTACGAAATTTGAGTCATTAAGAGGTTGTCGATTGGTCGGCCGGTTGGGTGTCCCGCAGCGGAGTCTATCCTCAACAACGTCAACGTGCACAACTGGACCGGGGGCAAGCACTGGAGCACTTGCAGGACCTATAGTTGCGTCTGGCTAAAGGTGGATGCGGGGGTGGAGGGGTCTGTCCTGAATGTGCACAACCGGGCCAGGGACTGCGCCCGCCTCCGGGTGCAGGCCCTACAGCACCTGCAGGATCTGGTCACCTGGTCGTGGTCATGTACGCGAGGTCTCCAGAGAGTGCACTACCATTACTACAAGGCCTAGGTCGCCGTCGGTGACGCCCCCCTCTCCCCCAGATGGAGGGAATGACCACACGCCACTCGCTCTGTTCCTGCCCCCCCCCCCTCCTCGGCGCAGTACTCTTGATCCCCGTGATGCGATCGTGGATGAGCACAGGCAGGGTCCGACTGGCCTCCCCAGGAACGTCGTGCGAGGGGCATCAAAACTCAAGGCACCCCCCCCCCATCAAAGAAAGGAAAATGGTTGTTTTTAGTCAAAATGTTCATTTATCTTAAGAATTAAAATACAATGCAATAGTTTTGTAACGGCGAGGCGCTGGTAGTATTGCAGAGTGCCAGGGGCATGCACGGTCATAGTGAAATGAAATATAATTTGTATCTAGATTTGAGTTCAAACCCAACCTTGAAATTTTATCGGTGCCAGGGCCGGAAGGCACGGTGCCTCACTCGGCGGGGCCAGGGCCGCCAGGCCCAGAGGCCTCCCTACGCGAAGCCAAGAGGGTCGGGCGATTGCGCGGCAGCCGGGTGTGCCGGTCCGAGCCTGAGCACAGGTAACACAGGTGAGACGGGCCCGCGTCCGAATGTGTGCTGCGCCAGGTGCTCGCCGCCCCAACAATTTTTCATCTTACGAGAAGGGTGTGTATGAATAATTGGAATTCCAAGGTGAAATATCTTTCTCTCGCTTTCTCTACACAACAGGCACGCTCAAGACTTTTTAACGAATAATTATTATTGATTATTATTTAGATCTCCATCTCTCTAAAGCAGTTTGCTTTTCCAGTGTGCCAACGCAACTTTCCCGATCGAAATATTTGAAGGAGCTCCGTGTTTCCCGCCTGCTGCCTACTGCGCATGCGTTGCGGGCGAGCCGAGCCGAGAGCCGAGCCCGAGCCCGAGCTAGGGCCGAGTACGAGCCGAAGTCGAACAAAAAGACGCCGATGGTAACCGTTATGCCGTTACTTTGTTTGCACTTGTTCAGTGTTTTGATTAATTCTTCAATACATTTCTGATTTCACCTTATTGATTCCATCATTGAATTATGGGTTCTGATTTGATCGTGTCAGCTCAGCTGTGCTCCGCCAACGCCAACCGCAACTCGTCTACTCGTCACAAGTCCGCCGGCCCAGCCCAGGACATGCCGCGGTTTTCCCAATCAAAACCTGTTGCTTCTTGAAGTTGTGAGAGGCGGTAAGACGATGAAGTGATTGCCCGAAGTGCACTGGTATTTTCTTTAAACCAAATTCATGGGCGGTGTGCTACTGGCCGGCCCCGAGAGTGCCAGTTTGAAAACAGACTGGGCAAACCTAACCTGCACTGTATTGCTCAGGAATGCTATGCAAGGTAAGCTTCCCTTTGTATTTTCATGGTTCTCTGCTGTACTCTTTCTCGTATTTTCATCTAAACCTTTATTATCCAGGCAAAACTTACTGTCGTATCGATGTTTGCAGGCTACTTTCTTTTTATGACGTGATTATGCCAGACTCTCTCCAAGTTTTTACGTGAACTCCACTCAACTCCCTCTCAGTTCAGGAGTACAGTCCTGTAAGTATTACATTGAGGCTCTTCAAACAATTCTGAAAAATTGTTTTTAACCTTGTCCCCATTTTTACTTGATTATTTTTTTCCAGAATATTCTTCACTGAGTTTCATGGCGAGCCCAGATTGTGAAGTGCAAAATGGGAATGGGCGGGCATTTCCAAGGAAGGCAAATACTGCAAACTCATTTGCGGAAGAAACAAGTTCAGAAGATGTACGATTTAGATTGTGCAGAGAAGTGCACTCTACTTTGATCAGAAAGGATTTGAAGAATGCAGGCAGCATCAGAGGTTAAAGTGTGAAGCTGAAGAGAGGAATCAAGATGGAAGACAAGACAAGCTGAAGAACAAATCAAGAAGTAAAGAGGGAAGGGAATAATGAAGACAGGAGATACGATGAAGAACGAATCAAGGAAGTGAAGAGAGAAGGGAAGAATGAAGGCAAGAGAGAAGATGAAGAACGAATCAAGAGGTGAAGAGAGAAGGGAAAAATGAAGACAACAGAGAAGATGAAGAACGAATCAAGAAGTGAAGAATGAAGACAAGAGAGAAGATGAAGAACGAATCAAGAAGTGAAGAGAGAAGGGAAGAATGAAG